AGTAACAGACACAGTAATATGGAGGCTGATAGTGTGTAAAAAAAAGAGCAGATAGACTTTTTAAAAATATATATAGAAATGAAGTAACAGTTATGGAGAAGCTCATTAGCTGAATATGTATTAGAGGGAGCCTTCCTGATTGGAGTGAATGTGTTTCAAGTTATTTATATGTAAAACAACAAAGATGTTACTGATAAAGATTAGATACTGATTCAGTTTAAACTTTTTTTTGAGAGAACAGCTAAAGAAGTCATTGTAGAGGCCAGACATAGTGGCTCACACTTATAATTTGGAAGGCCGAGGCAGGTAAATTGCAAGGAAGGAAGGAAGGAAGGAAGGAAGGGAAGGCGGGAGGGAGGGAGGGAGAAAGTAAGGGAGGAAGGGAAGAGGGAAGGAAAGGAGGGAGGGATCAATATAGGATGTATTGTTTTCAAGAGAATAAGAGTAAAAGGAGAATAAAGAAAACTTAATTAACTAGAAGGTAGGGAAAAAAGAGGAGAAGGACAGATTAGCAGAACGCAGAAAATAAGCGAGTAAAAGTAAGTCTGAATGTATCCGTTGTAATGAATGTAAGCAGGTTAAATTCACATTTTAAAAAAAGCATAGATTTTCAAATTTGATTTTAGAAAATCTAACAAAATACTCTTTATGAATCATTCCTAAGACATAATGACACAATAAAGTTCATAGTAAAGAAATGGGGAAATTACTACAATAAAAATTAATATTAGAAAATGAAACTAATAACAACAAAGAAATGGAACACCAGATATGTGAGGCAGATCCTATCCAAAAGAAAAGTGTTGCAGAAATATTACAGATAATTACAGATAACATTAAACTTAAGAGAATATTATTACAGATGACATTAAACTTAAGAGAAAACCTTTATTAAAGTCATGACTTTACCAAAAGACATACTTACCAAGAATTCCATGTATAACAAATGAGAGTGCAGGCACCCGATAGTGTCGTCTCCAAATACAGAAAGCAAACTCTGGCAGAATTATAAGGAGAAACTGACACCTCTGCAGTAGTAGTAGATGATTATTTAATATGTAGTTGAAAAAAAATAACAAAGATACAGAAGATTTGGATAATACAATTAAAATCTTAACCTACTAGACGTGTCTAAACCTTGCAGCTCAAAACTAGGAACTTCAATTTTTTGAAGACATATAAAACATTAACAAAAATTGATTACATATAAAAACACAAAGTAAAACAACCCATATTAGTATAAACATCATAAATTAGAAACACGAGAAATCCATGTTTTTAAATAATTTATGGATCAAAGATGAAATAATGGAAACTACAAACTATAAATAAATGACAACAAAATTCTAGCATGTAGCTAAAGCAAAATTTAGAGGAATGATTTATAGCCTTGGAAAATGTATTTTAAAATAAAAAATTGAAAATGAATTCTATAAAAATAGTTAAAGAATAATGTAGCAAACTCAAAGTGGGAACCAGGAAATAATGATGACAAAGGATAAATTAAGTGAAATTAGAAGAAAAGGGCCGGGCGCGGTGGCTCATGCCTGTAATCCCAGCACTTTGGGAGGCCGAGGCGGGTGGATCACGAGGTCAACAGATCGAGACCATCCTGGTCAACATGGTGAAACCCCGTCTCTACTAAAGATACAAAAAATTAGCTGGGCATGGTGGTGCGAGGCTGTAATCCCAGCTACTCAGGAGGCTGAGGCAGGAGAATTGCCTGAACCCAGGAGGCAGCGGTTGCGGTGAGCCGAGATTGTGCCATTGCACTCCAGCCTGGGTAACAAAAGCGAAACTCCGTCTCAAAAAAAAGAAATTGGAAGAAAAGGTACAGTAAAGAGGATCGACGAGCCAACGTTTGGTCTCATGAAAATACTGCTAAAACCAACCTCTATCAAGACTGAGAAGTTTTTTTAAAAAAAGCTTATACAAATTAATATGAGACTAAAACAAATTTATTGCAGATTCAGAAGTTAGGTCAGGGTGGTAAGTACATAGATGTTTTTTATATGAGTTCTTTAAGTTACAAATACTTCACAATGAAAAGATCATAATCTTAGGCGGTATGCCTTAGTCCAGGCATTGCCTATTCCCTGTCTGCTGTAGCATGCTTTAACAGGTACCAAGTGTCTCCTTTTCTTGTGAATCTAGCTCCAAGTGACTCATACGTTCCTGCTTTGTACACGCTTTGTAGAAAATTGTAATCCTGTCCGTTGTAATCCTAAAGTGGCAGAGGCAAACTGTGAAATCAACAGAATGAACGCCTCTAGCAAAGGTTGAGGAGAACAGGAATCCTGTCCATGTGCAGTTAAAAAAGCTAGATGCAAATTGGCCAGAGCTGGTCTAGGAACAGCTTCCATAAAAGACACAGGCTTTCTTGAGGCATCTTAGTCCTGGCTATGGCAGGGTTGTCAAATCGCATTTACTTACCTGGTTGATGTTACTATTCTCTGAGAGGGCAGTTCCTAAGCTTCAGAATATGTTTGTAGAAGTAGGTTTACACTCTCTGGCTTGATTTGAAACACCAACACACTTTCATGAAGCCTGAATGGAAATTGCTGTGTTTGGCAGATACATCCTGGGTCTGCAGCACAGGCAGTGTGACTTCCTAGAAGAACATTGTCTCTTGCTCTAAAAAAAAAATGGTGGATTGCAAGAAAAGACTTTTTGTTGAAGTTGAAATAAATGTGGACTCAATGTATACTTTTTACTATTATTCCATTTAAAACAACTGACTTCCTCTGGCAAGTTTCCTTTCATTTGAATAGGATTTATTCAACATATTCAAACTTTTTTAAAAAAAAGTGTATTGCCTGTGATTTTTAATCCTGATAAGTATACCACTGTTCTAAAATTTATATTGTGAGGAAAATTATGTCATCAGTTTCTTTTTTCTTTTGATATTTCCCTTTTTTGGCTGAAAATAAATGAGCTACTTTTCTTATGTCCCAGAGTATTGTCCCTTTTCTTTTTTACAAAAAGAGCTTTTGTTTTATGATTCTAGCAATGAGCTTGCTTATAGTTTGGTTTGAGATCTGTAATTTTTATAGGATAGCATTATTAGTCATGGCCACTTATATATTAGTGAGCTCTTCCTCATATGGGTATGAGAATTGTCATTTACCATGACCGGGTCTATACAGTTAAGGTGCTGCTATTTTCTTGAGCCTCTGCTGGCATTATGGGCAACATAAAAGAATGTGTCTGCCATTACCATGTGGTGACTCAAGTGGCAGGCCAGAGAGAGTTTCCTCAGAGAAGGTGATGAAAGGTGTAGACACTACTTTGGACCCCTCTGACTGGCCAGGCCTTAGAATTAGGTTGGGAAAACTGAGTTTACCAGGCATGTGATTTTTAATACTATTGCTGCCATAATCTTTTCTTTTATAAGACGATGATTCCCTGCTTCCTATTCCCAATATTTGTACCAGTTATCAATGGTAATCGCTTTCCCAAATAATTGAGTCCAACCCTGTGGTCTATATTAAGTAAATGTCTAGGTCTGATTTGATTCTTACTATTATTTAAACTTAGCAAAATACTGCTGTAGCTGTTTTCCTCTAGAGACCACACAAGAACACTTTATTTAGATAGTCAGCTTAAACAATATTTTCACTTTCTACAGCTAGCGATGGGCATTGAACATGGGAAGCTATGTAACTTGCCAAGGTTGCAGAGCTAGTTGTAGAGACAGGGCTGGATAGGATAGCTGGGTGATCCTCTTTTGGAGATTCCATATGGCTTTTTCACCTGCAGTGCAAGCACATGTTCGTAAATGGCTAAGTACATAAGCGTTGCTGTAAGTGTGCAGTTATATGACTAAGGGTGGGCAGTAATTAAAATAGTTGTACTTCATTTTTTTTTTTACAGACCAATACTATTCTTAAGTGAATAAGGTATAATTTCCTTATTTATTTCCACAGTATTTACTAACATTTATCTTATGTGTCAGTGCTCTTATAGTATAGAGCTTGATAAAGAACATACTCTTAAACAAAATAAACAAGTTGGACCCCATGTTGTCTCAGAACTTGAATGATGTATATCTGTGGTCTGAATTTTATTAATTAGATAATTATTCAGTACACATTTTAGTTTGTGCTTGTGTGAACCAGACCATAGACCATTTTGCTAAATTGTGGTGAATATTTCCACTGGAGGCCTTGAAAGAATCAGTTCCTAGGCAACACCTGACTTAGCCTCAGCCTAGAGACCTGCCCATCTCCCGTGCATTAAAAGGAATTCTGGCCACTGTGGCTGCCACATGCCTAGTGAGCGGTGACGTCAAGATCTCCTACCTTGCTTTTCAAAGGATGTCACCTTCATCAGATGCTTCCCTTAGTGCCCTCTCTTCTTCTATAGCATTTCCCTGGGGTTTCAACTTAATTTGGAAGTTGAGGCATATTTTGGGTAGAAAATTTGTGTGTGTGTCTCTCTATGTATATTTTCCTTATTTAAGATTCTCTCAATTCAGGCAGTTTTACCTACTTTTCTCACTTGTGGAATGGAGATAGGATTTTATGTAGTTGATGAGAATTATTTTAGAATGGTTTAAAATTAGAAGATTCTTTTTTGGCTGAAAGTCATTTTCATTGATATCATTGAAGTCTTTGAATCTGACCTTTCTTCATATACATATGCTTAGTTATAAAATACCTACCTGCAGAAGGTAAATATTTTCTTTTCTGATATTTTTTCCCCCAAATGGGCTTTTGCTAAGCTCATTTATCTGCAAAAGAGACATCTGCTTTAGGTCTGTACTTGTTAATTTACCTTGGAAAAATTAGGTCATTGTCAAATCTGGCACTGTGGCTTATAAACTTGGCAAAATGGTCTAATTAAAAGCTTCTGTTAGATTATAGAAAAAGGAAAAAATGATTAGTGCCAGTCATATTTTTGTTTTCATGGTTTGTGTATATGTAGGTATATGTCACTTCTCGTGTTGCATTAAAAGTATGTTGACTATCTGCTAACAGTTCATCTCTTTTCTTCTACAGCCTCCAAGTCTGTTATAAATAGTATGCTCCGGGACCCTTCTCAGATTCCAGATGGAGTTCTAGCAAATCAGGTCTATCAGGTATTAATCACAGCTGTCTATTTTCAGTGGCAATGCTGTTATCTGCCTAGGAGAGTAAAGGATTTTAAACCTCATTTAATTACTGTCATCATAAACTATCACTGAGGTCAGGGTGCACCATAAATGGCAATGCAATATTTGTGAGAAGAGCATTTCACTTTTTAATAGCTTGCTTTTATAGTGAATAAAAAGCATGCAATTTTTGTTTACTGTGATTAAATCTGAACAGCCTTCTGATAGCTTTCTTTTTTGGGGAGCGGTGGGGGGAGGAAAGTAATTACTGCTTTTAGGATACTGTTTACTGTAATAGTTTTTGTAGTTGCCCCACCCCAGACCCCTTTTCTTATTTGTCTGCAGTGCATTGTGAACGACTGCTGTTATGGACCACTGGTGGACTGCATCAAGCAGTATCCTTCCCCATAAAATTTTAGGTGCACAATTGACGAGCTTAGACTCAGTGGAGATGTGTCTAGCTTTAACCTGACATAAAGTTCTGCTTCACAAAACACATTTCATACTCTTCTATTTTACATTCAATCAACTGGAGGGTCACTACAGACCATTCTTTTCTACAGCTTGAGTATCAGACCACAGGAACTTGTCAGTTCATCAGTTACATATTCCCATGCTTATTTCAAAGTGCTTGATTTTCAGTGAGTTTAAAGGTACAGAGTCATTAAGCAGGTAACGTAATGTCTTGGAATGTATTTAATCATCCCAATGAACAGTTTTAAAAAATATAACAAATTTCCATTTAAAATGAGCCAAATTTTGTTGAATTTACTCAAATAAATTTAGAGCTTGGAGTGAAAAGAGGTTGTGATTAAAATGCTTCCAGAGACATCACATTTTAAAGGCAATAGATTCTTTTTGCTTAAATGCTGATTAGAATCTGAGCTGGCATTTGGATTCCTAATAAACATTTTTTTTAGAGAAATCAAGGTAACTTTTCCTCCTGGCATAAATTTAAGGTTGTGAAAACAGATGTCCAGTCATTTTTCATTAAAGACTAAAGAGTTAATGTTTACTTTTTAAAACAGGATTGGGTGGACAGTATCTACTTCATGAAGTAGGATGTTATTAATCAATAAATTGAGTACTGTGGCAACAGAGTTTTTTTGATATTCCTCAAATAAAAGTGCTATTTAAATGGTAAATAATGAGCACTTTTTTTGAGAATAATTTCTATATGAGTCGATGAATTTCACTCCTCTTAATAATGTAAACATGTCCCTCTTGATATGGATTTTGTTAGCGTGGATGGCACTGTGACCAACTGTGACTCAGTAATTACCAGTCAGAAGACTTTTTGCTGGAAACTCCTACTAGTCAAATTTGTACATGTATGTGTTTATATTCCACCTTATTTTGCAAAGGCTTAGAGTCAGTAACATTTTTAAAAAGAAAATCATGCTTACATAAGTAAAGTTAATCTTTGAGAAACAATCTTATAACAGAGCCCTCTTACAAGAATATTCAATATTGAAGATACAGACCTTTATGTATTTTATCCTCCAAGTCTGTTTCTCCAGTCTAGCTTAAATTAGTAAAAACACAGCATTATCCCAAGCTCACCTTTTATTAAACCAAAGTGAAATTGTACTTCTGTATTCAGTATAAAATTAATGATAGTGATAGAAATTGTAGGAGTGCCGACCTCATGTTGCTACACTGATAAAGTTTAGCACATTCATATAACAACTAACACCATCTCAGAGTATCTGGGGTTGAATTACATGTTAATTTTAAAGCACATAAAATAGTTAAAAATCAATTTAAAGTTAAGGTTTTAAAAGCCTAATGTCTTTTGAAGGATTGCATATTGATTTTAAATATAACTATCTAATTATGTATGCATGGACTAAAGTATGAAGTCAACTGCTTTGTAAATGCCAGGAGGCTATTTTTCAGTAATAGTTGAGATGCTTACGGGAAACTAGATTGCTGTATGGCTGGCGAAGAAAATGGCTTGTGAGGTTATTTACAAGTTTTGCCCATGGTCACTGCCATACATCAATAATAGGTATTACTATAGACAAAGTCTAAGTGTTTTTGCTTATAGAGCATTATAAATTCCGTTTGGAGTATTTTCCATACATTTTTGCCATCATTCACTTTCCTTTTCTGGCTGTGTTATTGCCAGTAGAATTTAATGTAGTACATGATTTCAATTGATAAAGATAATGACATATGTCTATAAATTACATTCACCAAGTAGGTTATAAGTTTTGCAGTTTCATTATGTCTGTTGCCACTAAAACTACAGATTTTATAAGTTTTATTTTCTAGACTTTGCATTTTATATATGTTTTTATCAAGCAAAGAATAATTAAGAAACATATCTGTCCAAAATTTCAAATTGGTGATTGCTTTTATCATGCAAAATAAAACAGGTTGGGAAGTTTGCAGAGAAGCTGATTATGTCTTTGCATTGAAGTAGTAGCAGTCTCATATAATGTCTAAAAACACTTGCATAGATGTTTCCTAGACTCATCAGCAATAATTATTTTATTTCACACTGAATAAAAATTATTGGTTTTCCATGTGAGTAAATGTGTTGTTTGTGTGTTTTTCTGATAATTCGGTAATATTTACATTGTTTACTCTCAGTAAATTACATCATGTTGTGAGAAAGAAAGCACACATTTGGTAAATAAGATGGGTGCTAAACCTTCTTAGTGCATTATGAAAATGTTATATTTGTGTAAGTAGAATACAGAAAATTGGTAAATTGGTAAATACAGTAAATTGGTATAGTAAGACACTATAGAAAGCACAGTTAGCAAAGTATATATACAACATCATTGTGCTTTCTCTTTTTTTAAAAAAATCTACTCTATTTCTCCCTATGCAGCCATGCCTACCTACACCTTTCCCACCACAATTCATACTCACCAAGGAAAAAAATGTGAGAAATGAGCCACCTCAACTTTCCAAAGTATGACTCCAGGACACAGCTATTAGACAAAAGCATAAACTGTGAAGCAAGGAAAGATAATGATGCAGGAAGCTTCAAATGCTGTGGGTTTCATTTCTGTACCATCAGAAACCTCGGTTTCATGATTCAACATTTTAGATGTAAATAATTTACAACAATAAAAATGAGAGCACATTTATGTGGAATAGAAGTAAATAATTTAGTTCTAAAATGTGGGATGTCCCTAGTAATGAGAGACCACTGAGAGTTATTCATCAAATGTCTTCAATGGAATCTAAAAATGTGGAAATTTTGTGATTTAAAATGTGTTTCCTTTATTTTGTTTCTCATTAGAAATTTTAAAAGCACAGCTATGTGCATTGTTGGGTAGGGGACAACTGGAGGAAAAGGCAATAGTGATGACTTAGAGCTTGTTTTGCTGAAACATAAATGGTCACATCTCTTGAATTCTAAGATTTAAATGATAGTCACCGTATATGTTAAAAAAAATGCAAGATAATTCTCTAGAATTCTTTTTTTATTTTTACAAATAACATAGAAGTGTTATTTAAGTTGAACTCAGGTAGTGCATGATCAGAATCAGCTTCTCTAGTAAGCCAAGGAGTGACGTGACCAGGTTGATGTTATCAGTGAAAAGGACAGTGAAGGTAACAATCCACATAATTATTATCAATTGCTTTTGACTCATTTGAAATATTAGAGTAGGATAGCATCCTTTTCAGACTTTGTGCAATCTCATCTGTTGGGAAAATACACAAGACTTCCATGTTCCACTCATGATTTCATTATTTACCAGCCATGGTACCGTCAGCAAATTCCCCAGCCTTCCCGAACCTTACTTTCCTTAATTGTAAAAGGGTGTCTGATAGGCTGGGTGTTGTGGCTCACACCTGTAATCCCAGCACTTTGAGAGGCTAGACAGACAGGTCACTTGAGGTTGGGAGTTTGAGACCAGCCTGGCCTATGTGGTGAAACCCTGGTGTCTACTAAAAACACAAAAATTAGCCAGGCATGATGGCAGACACCTGTAATCCTAGCTACTCAGGAGGCTGAGGCCGAAGGAAGAATTGGTTGAACTCAGGAGGCAGAGGGTGCAGTGAGCCAAGATTGTGCCACTGCACTCCAGCCTGGGCAAGACCAAGACTTCAGCTCAAAAAAAAAGGGGGGGTGACTAATAATGGTATCTACTCATGTGGCTATTGTAATTTGGTATCTCAAAGTATTTAGCACAAAGACTTCATGCATGATATTTAAGAAATATTAGCTATTATCAGTTATTACATAATTTTAATACTTTTTTGAGAAGCTATATGGAGGTCATAAACAGACTTGGCAGAGATTTTGTTACCTTCTTTGCCACTCACTAACTGTAAGCCCTGTACAGGTTTCTTTCTAAGCCTCGGCTTCCTCCTCTGTAAAATAAGTATTATAATTATGAGGGTAAAATAACCTACTTAAAAGCACTTAACACAGTGCCTAACACGTAGTAAGCATTGAAAAATAGATATTCATGTTGTATATCTATTTATGTACATGTACATGTGTACACATACACAGACGAGAAGAAGACTCTTGAAATAGCCTCTATACCCACACCCTAATCCACAACTCTTTACTAAGATGTCTTTCCTGCAGATTACATATATTCTTAACAAGTCACATGTTTGTCTTGCAAGTTGCAAAAGTTCAACAGTTGATTGGAAGTGAAACAAAGAAATTTCTAAAGGTGGCCAGGCGCGGTGGCTCAAGCCTGTAATCCCAGCACTTTCGGAGGCCGAGGCGGGTGGATCACGAGGTCAAGAGATCGAGACCATCCTGGTAAACATGGTGAAACCCCATCTCTACTAAAAATACAGAAAATCAGCTGGGCACGGTGGCGCGTGCCTGTAATCCCAGCTACTCAGGAGGCGGAGGCAGGAGAATTGCCTGAACCCAGGAGGCGGAGGTTGCGGTGAGCCGAGATTGCGCCATTGCACTCCAGCCTGGGTAACAAGAGTGAAACTGTCAAAAAAAAAAAGAAATTTCTAAATGTTAGCTTGTGACAAATTCACAGAAGATTTACAGAACTCTCTATGATTAGGAGTTCTTCTAGGAAAAAGACTGGCTAGTATTCTTTACTGTACCTAGTAAGTGCTTAACAAATGCATGCTAAGTTGAGTTGAGGGATTTTAATTTTTAAAAACTTTTTATAATTTTTTTAAAGAGATGGTGTCTTGCTACCTTGCCCACCTGGCCTGAAGTGATCCTTCTACCTCAGCCTCTGGAGTGGCGGGAGATACAGGCACAAGCCACCTTGCCCAACCCAAATGAAAGATTTTTAACACAGATTAAAGTACATTTAAAATGACTCTCCTTCTTTGCGAAATAAGGTACACATTCATTTACAAATCTTTGTTTTCCAAAATAAACATACAAAAATTATAAAAAGAGCAGAACACAGTGGCTCACACATGTAATCCCAGCACTTTGGGAGGCTGAGGCAAGATAATCACTTCAGCCCAGGAGTTTGAGACCAGCCAGGGCAACACAGTGAGATCCCATCTCTTAAAAAACAAAAATTAGCCAGACATGGTGGTATCCCTCTGTAGTACCTGCTACTTGGGAGGCTGAGGTGAGAGGATTACTTGAACCCAGGAGTTCAAGATTATAGTGAGCTATGATTATGCCAGTATACTCCAGCCTGGATAACAGAAAAAGACCCTGTCTCTAGAAAAAGAAAAAAAGTTTAAAAAAATTATAGAAAAATGCTATCAAATTATTTAAATAAGGGGATGTGTATATAGAGAGATTTCATTCCTCAAAGTTGTGGACTAAGGGTGAAAATGGCTGTTAAACCACCTCAATTTTTCATTTCATCTAAAAGTATAGACCTGGTATTAGCATTTTCTGCTGGTATAATTCCACCTGTGTTACCCCTTAACTGAAACTTCCCAGTGCCATTGGTCATGAGCATGAAGTCATGCTGAGAGACATGCTTCTAGAGAAAAACCTGTCCTTCCTAGGTAAGTATTATTCACATCTTCCCTAGCTTGTGTTGTCTCCATGATTGCTTAAATATATGTTTTAAAAATCTTCCACTAAAGGAAGAGTGAATGATGATTGATGCTGTGCATATTATCTTTTATTGATTTGGAACTGAGCAGGAACTCAGTTACCTAATCTCCCATATATACAGCACATGCACAGGCTTGCAATTAATATTTTATAGAATAAGTGGCTGAAAAAATGCTTTAATATCTGTTGCAGTATTACTTTTGGTATCATGAGATATTAACCATAATCTAGGCCTTATGAGAAAAAGAAACAAAAGAAATATTGTCTATGAAATGTCTTATATATTAAAAAGAACAGTTAGAGAAATTCATGTTGGGTATATTTGTCTCATATATGGAACTGAATAATACTTTTACTTGAAAGCAAAATGTTAAGCCTTTATTATTTTCATGCCAAACATTCATTGGCATCATGGATTTATTATTCTTTAAAAATCCCACATGTATTCATGCGTTTGTGTATTACAGATTGTTATTTCTTTCATCATCCCTTAAGCATTAGAAATTAAGCCTGAAAGGACTAGGCGTATAATACGAGATCGCAGAAACTATAAAGCACTCTACAATAAATTAATTTCTCTTCTCCACTTTAAATGTGGTAATTTGTAAAGGCTTCATACAAGTCATTTTATTTTTATACAGATCTGTTTTATGTAGATATTGAAGAGTCTGCACAATGTTTCTTTTAGGACATACATAAAAAATAGAACTACATTGGATTACATAAGTTTTGTTCCAAAATGGGCCAAGAATTGGCCAAGGAAAACCAAATGCAGAGAAATTTCAAGTAAGGAAGAGATGTTTAATGAAGTCCTATAAAGAATCTATTCTAAATCTTAATGTTTAATATTTTTATTAATAAACTGTAGAATAAAATTGAATGTATTATAAGATTGTTTTAGATTGAAGCTTGGAGATATCATAAATATCCTCTAGTTAGGGTTAAAGAAAGTTGATTAATTAGGAAAGTGTTCTCAAGTCACAGAACTGAATTTCAGTGTGTAGAAGCAGGAAGTTTTTTCACATGGGGACAGTTGAATTGTTCAGCCTATGGAAAGAGGGTAAATTGGAAGAAATCACCTTTTAAAAGTCTAATCACAAGGAAAATATGTAATAGTTCAGAAGCAGTTGGAATGAAAGACCTGTGATGCACTATGAGATATGTTTTGGAACCAGGTAGTTCTGGTAGTATTATGAAATATATGATCACAGTGATTACTCGATAGTGACCAATATGGCATGGCCAAGTCTATTTGTTTGTTTGTTTTAAGCCACCAACTAAGCAGCGTCATTTTCGGAGCTGCTTAGCATCACTCTCTGGGCACCATCAGCCTTTGGACAGTCAGGTCTTCAGCCCCATTTCTTTGTTTGGCCTAACTTTTGTCTGCTTCCTTCTTGAGAGCTAGCCGATCCCAGCTGGGGAAAAAAGCAAAGATAGGAGATGTGGGCTAAACTTAGTCCTAAGTCCTCAACTTACTTGAACTTGAATATGTCAGATTCGATTCACCATGGCTGACAAAAGCAATATAAAAATGTGATCCAGGGGTTATCTCTACTTGCAAACAAGCACAGAAAGGGGACTTAAAATTGAAATTCATGAGACTCATCTATTTCTCTGTGCTCTAGAATCTAGAGGTAATTATTTTATGGAAGCATACTCAAAGAGGCTATTTAATTGATCTTTAAAAATAAATGAGAGATAGGAAGTTTATGCAACCTTAGTCCTGTTTTAAAGCATTTCCTCATCAGCATACAAACAAGTTGTTAATTCTTTGTATTTTAATGTAGCACTGAATTAACATGTTTGTGACTGAAACATGAAAATTGAAGCTTTGCATGGAATATTGTAATGGGGTTGTTGTCCTTTTACCTTATAAATAAACACGCCTTTACAGAGATTAATTAGATTTAAAGTATTTTGCCAGGTAAATCTAGATAGATCATTTTAAAGCCAACTATGGAAAAAATATTGGTAAATAGCCCACTAATTGTATTGTTTGTTGTTTACATGTGTATACCTTGAATTTTGTTGCAGAGACATTGCAAACATGTTTAATTTATTTTGATCTTTTGCTAAGTAGAAGTAAAATATCCTTCTCACCCTGCCCCCATTGTTTTCTAATTTGGACTACATTCAAAAGACAAATATCCTCATTTTTTAATATTAACCCTTCTTAATTTAAGAATTATGACTGTCCCTAAAATATTTTACCCATTTTAAATTTTCCACACATTGTACTCTGTATTTATTTTATAAAATGTATATTTTATCTGATCTCTTACCAATAGAAGGGAAAAGTAAATCTCATTTTCTCTAACTCTAATTCTTTCTTAAATTGCCTTGGTTTGTAACTGCATCCTGAGCAATTGTACAGCACAAGATCTAGCCAGGCATTATAGGAAAGAAAAAAAAGACATGTTCCTATCATTGAAGATTTGAATGTACTGATATGAGTTCATCCTGTCTTTTAAACTTATCCAATTGTACTTCTACACATAAGTATATTACATTAAGACAGGTCAAAGTTGAATAAATGACTTTCATTTCTCTAAAAAATATTTTTCATGTGCATATTTATTTATTTCAAAAATAAGTTACTAAGTTGGATAATGTTTTAGAAACTAGATAAATCAGATGAAGTGTCTTCTTTCATGGGGTTATGGTCCAGTAGGGAGACAAGCTACGAATGAACACAGGTAATTTCTAGCAGTTTCAGAGAGTCCATGTAATTCTTCCCTTCATTATTTATTCATTCTTTTCAATTAACTTTTGGTGTGCTCTCTGCATGCCAGGAACTATACTAGTTAGTATGAAGTGGTTGATTATAAGTACTCTGTGCTCCGCCCCGCAATGCTCATAGCCAAGCACTGTGTGATCCAATGAGAATGCAGTTTTCTCTCTGATCCAGTGAGAATGCATCTCACCTAGTAGGTATTCATGTGATTGTCTCGATAATGAAAATAAATACTCAAGGCTGTTATGCTACTTTCATCAAACCTTTCAAAGACAGTTACAAATTATAGCAATATCAGTCACTACCCTCTACAAATGAAGAAAATGGTGCTGCCTTATGAACTGCTTTCTCCTGAAATAGTGATGGAATTTTACCTAATCATTTGTTCTTTCTCACTGGGATCTTCCTGTCGTAGTCTATTTCTAGGATGGCTGGTTGGGCTCATAGGGTTGGCTCTCTTGCCAGTAGCAAACTACTCTTTTAAGTACTTGCTGTGGACAGACACCAGTAAGAATTTTAAAGAAACTTTCTCTTTTAAGTTGATGAAAACATGGAGCCTTCTGGGAAAGTTGAAGGTAAGTTTTTATACATGTCCGTAGTTCTTTCCAAGGATAAGTAATTTAGAATTAATATTTCTTGGCCGTATCTCAGCACTTTGGGAGGCTGAGGCAGGAGGATCACATGAGGCCAGGATTCAAGAACAGCCTGAGCACCACAGGGAGATCTTGTCTCTACAAAGAATGTTTCAAAAAATTAACCAGTGTGGTGGCAGGCACCTGTTCCCAGCTACTTGGGAGGCCAAAGTGGGAGGATTACTTAAGCCCAGGAGTTCAAGATTATGGTGTACTGTGGTCATTCCACTGCACTCCAGCTTGGGTGACAGAATGAGACCCTGTCGCTAACTTAGATAGATGGTAGGTAGGTAGGTAGGTAGGTAGATAGATAGATAGATAGATAGATAGATAGATAGATAGATAGATAGATAGATAATTCAGCATTTAAAATCTCAAAAGAGATGAAGAACTTGCTGCCCACTCTTAGGCTTGGCTGCACAAAAAAAACTCTTCAACTTTAAATTGAACAATAAGCATTGTTATCATCCCATTAGCTCTGCTAAGGGTTTGCTCCATGTCTAATATTGACAAAACAGAAAATGTATTTTATCTACTGGTAGAGATGTGTTCACTTGTATCTCTCTCGAGTGATTAATGAGACCATATTTTGCTATATTACACCCTCTCTTTTTTGTTTCGTTTGGTTTCAGTTTTGGTTTGGTTCTGTTTTGTTGTTTTTAAGAGCTTTGGACAAAAAGGCAGGAAAGGAAAAGAAAATAGTGACAATGCGAAGACAACAAGACAGTTTGCCCTGTTAGGTGAAATATGAAAGCGTTCATACCAAATACTGCAGCTAAACCATCCATCTTTTATGGGTTGGCGTATCTCCAGGATGGAGGGACTTTCATTAGTGACTGCCACAGCCACCGTCTGGTACAAATTCTTGTTAAGTTTGGCCTAATAAGGATGGCTCTGGAGATATTTCATTCTTTCCAGTGAGTGTTTCCCTGTTAGTAGACACTAACAATTATTTTGAGTGACACCTGAGAGACATTTGTTGTGTCCCTGCCTCACCCTCACCCCCATGTCTGGACAAACTAGCAAATTTTACAGGGATGCTTGTGTAGCATTCATGTATGACTGTGGGACTCTGAGAGAGTATAATCTGTAAAGCCAAATAGACTTAGTAAATGATGTCCCTTGCTGTAAGAAATTAGGATCTTTGTTTCTAAGAGTTCATCTGCCCCTGCTGCTTTATTCTTCACCTGAAGCAACAATACTCTGCTGGGTAGGTGATTATGATGTGACGAACAGGGGATTATAACTTCAGGTGAAGGATAGGTAGAATACCAGGATTGTGTACACGCAGATGTCAGCGGCAGAGAGTAAGAGACCAGAAATAAAACATACAATTATGTAGGCTGAAGGGAATGGAGATAGTTGGGTATTTCATAAGGAATCTACCATTTAAATTCCTGTCTATCAGAAGGTTGAAAATGTGATGCCGTTTTTAGAGTAACAGGAACATGAAATTGAGGGTGGGAGGTGGGGAATTCGGGCCCAGTTCTCTTTCTGAAGAGATTGTCATGGTGAGAGACTTTCTTGCTCATTCCCCTTATTGACTGGGCTGCACACTTCTTCCTGGGACTGAGAAAAGGAC